GTGGTAATTTCAGGTCCATGCTGGGGAGGATTTCAGCTCAGTCCTACAGCTTTGACCAGTGCTTCTACCCGTACAACAGTGAAACGTTTGCACTGGTAAGACCCTTCATGAGATCACAGTATGACCACTGACTGACAGTGATGCTGATCTTTCTCAACCCTGTTGTGATTGATGTGTTTAACCGTGTTTCTTAGATGAGGAACTTGATGTTGAATTACAGGTTGTCTGTCCCGATAAAGAGTCTTTGTGTGTTCAATCATTGTTGAATGCTTTTGATGTCACTCTGTATTATGCAGTGTTTCTTCAGAGATCCCAACGTGGTATCCAGTCTGAGAAAGATGGAGGCCGGAGCCTGGGTGCCTCTTGGTATGTCATGACCTCCAGAAAGCCTTTCATTACTGATAGTAGGAAATTGATCTCATCTGCTGGACAATATTTGCCGTCAAATCTCTGTGGAATGTTTTTGACTTGTGTGTGTGTATGTGTGTGTGTGTGTGTGTGTGTGTGTGTGTGTGTGTGTGTGTGTGTACTACCTGTTGTGTAGACAAGCCCGTGGTGTCTGTTGACGTGGAGCCGGTGCAGTGCACTAAAGTCTCCATGGAGCTGTTTGACCCAATCTACTCTTGTGGGATCGTGAGGCCCTCTGGACATGTAGTTAAATGCTTTCATGATGTCTACCCCGACTATGATGAGCTCAGACAGGTCGCTCTCTCTTTGCTCATCCACTCGTCTGTCTGTCTGTCTCTGTCTTTACTTCCCATGGAGTCAGTCCAAGTCTCCCTCTGCTCTCCTAGATGTTGCAGGAGGAGGACTCTGAGCACCACTATGCGGTTGGGAAGGAGGAGCGAGGAGAGTTTCTGTTTCGCCTCTTCAAGCACCTGTGTGTCGGGGGAGAGCTCTGTCAGTACGAAGACGCCATCGAGCCTTACATCAGCACCACGAAGCAAATCTACAAAGACCTGATCAGGTGGGCCGAATCGGACCGTGCATTTGCTGCCACATCTGAATCCATTCTGTCCAGCAATACAAACACTTTAACAAGTATTGATCAGGTTATTAAATACGTCACAATCTAATAATAACATTGTAATTCTGCCCTTTACTACGCAGTGTTCAGAAGGATCCAGAGACTAAAAAGATCAGCGTTGTCTCCACAGTCCTCAAAGTCTGTGCCTATGTAAGTGACTGGTTGAATGCCTGTTTGTGCCACCTGCATGCATACAAATGCACAAATGTAATTGGATTAACTTGGACTGCACCTTTCACAGCTGTCCTTCACACACACATAAGAGGCTTACTTGAAGTGTCCTCATTATTTACACAGATATAATGTATTATTAATCCCCTGTAGGATGAGTCTGGACCATGTTATCCCCAAAGACGAGAGGAGGAGCAGACGTTTGCCTATGTAATTGTCGACCCCTTCAAACGACACATGACTTTGTTCTACCACAGCTACGGTGTAGGAAACTTCACACTGTGACAGAGAAGAACTGGAAGTCGTCTTGTAGAGTTTTTTAGATTCCTTGTGCACATGTGCATGTACAAACAAGTGAGTTCAGACTGAGAGCCGTATCCAGAAACTAGTTGCACACAATGAATTCCCAGTTTGAGTTACAAAAGAGAAGAATTCATTATTTTGTTCTATTTAAGTATGTCAATAAAAGGCTTTTAAACAGCCTTAAAATGACTCTATGCCTGCCTTTACATGATGTTGAGCCTTTTGTTGGTTCTCCCATTGTGTACTAATAATACTTTGAACAGCTAACATCCTGTTATAACTAAATGTTAGAAAACTCAACATGTCAATAAAACAGTTGAACATAAGATACGGTCATGATTGTGGTCCATCTTTCACTTTTGAATTAGGATTTAGAACATATTTAATTATAGCACAATTTTAATAAATGGATTACCCCCTTGCATATGAACTCTTTTCCATGTTCTTTTCATTATTTTGTGAATATAAATTCTATGGGTATGTCCAAATATTTTGAATTTCAACACCTGATTTCAACCCCCTGCAATAGAAGCCTGTCACTTTAAATGTCAAACATTACACGGTATAGGCCCTTTTCACAGCAGCCATTTTGACACATCATAGCAGGGTAAGCAGGTGTAATTGATAATCTAATTTGTGTGTCACGGCTGCTTATAATTAATGTCATTAACTACACCTGTGTTTACCCTGCAATGACATGTCAAAATGGCTGCGGTGTAAAGGGTCTATTGATTCATTGGAATAGTTTTAGACAAAAAGAGGCCAAAGTCAATGTACAGTCCAAAGAACTTTATTGAAACAAATAAATTAATAAGTTAGTCAAGTGAGCTAATTTTATCCTCAGCAGATACTCATTTGTGTATCTCTTTGAAAGATCAAATAGAGGTGTGCATTTGATTAGAAAATAACATAACCGCCGTATTTCATCAACCAGTAGCTACATCAATTGGAATCGTTAGACTTTGTTGGCTTTAGCATTTTTCTTATTGCTTTGATCGGTTTCATTTTAACAACAGTTCCAATACCTAAGAGCAGTTAAAGGGCAACGAGCTGGAATGTCAAATGGCAGCAAGTCAGTGAAGGATGGATGGTCGGGGGTCGTGGAGGAGAACAGGGTGAAAAAGAGAACGTGCAGATTGAGTCATGCATAGCATTCAGTCAGTTAGACAATCACTTACGGTTTCTCATACTTGGGTTTCTAGACTAGCGCCCCCTAGTGGCCTCAGAGGTAGTTGTGTGGAAGCCATACTTCTCTATGTGACATGCTTATGGCAGGACGCATGCCTGCAGAGTTTCCTGCGACGATACGAATGTCCATGCCTCCAGATCTGACTGGTGTTGAAATACAGTAAGGGTGTCGATGCGAGGAGGTCCCGGGCAGAGTTACAATGATATGCTGAGCGTACGGTAAAATTCCCAGAATACATGTATATCAAAAAGTTGCAGCAGTCATGAAAGACTGATACCCTAAAAATTACATATTCAGAACAATGTATTAATAATTAAGTTTGAGACAGAAAGCTGCACCGTATCAGTTACAGAACGAGGACATAAAAGGCACAGGTCATTTCCTTTCATGTCTTTACTCAAGACTTCACAGGAGACATCCGTAAGTTCTTCTTTTCTTCTAATACCGGGGCCACAACAACAACAACATGCAATACAGTGGTCTCACGTACATGAAGCTCAACATTCCAGGTGACAATGAAGTGACAGCACTGTTGAGTCTAATAATGCCTCTGATAAGTCTGCGATAGTTTAGAATGAAGCTTCTCTATGAAATGAATGCAAAGAAGGATGTTCCATTTGATTCCTGATGGCATAAATAGATCTAAATAGAGCGACCAATGAAGTACATTCACTGTTTGAAGTTGAAAAATGGAGCACCTGAGTCAACTGGTTTGACTGGAACAAATGAACCAATCACTTACAGGGGACGGAAGAACTGTTCTCACCGGCCGAATAGTGTTGTGAATGTTTTCTTAGTTGAAGCTGGCAGCAATTATCTGATGACGTTAAAAATATATACATATGAGCTCTGCGAGTGGTGAGCGTGAACCTGATCAGCTGCGTGTAGTTACAGTTGTGTCATCCATGATTCGATTTGACATAAATGCTACATGTATATAAAGATCGTATCTAACTGTATTAAATATATTAACTTAAGTCCTACATTCACTTTAAGAACAAAAATCATTTAAAAAAAAAAAAAAAACAGCACTCTGCCATTATGGGTTACAAAACAATCTAGTGCTTTAACATAATCACAGTAATCAAATCAAAACACAAAGATAAAGATAAAAAGACTGTGCCAAAGTATTTAAGTAAAAGAATCGCTTTCATTTTGAATGTGTGTATGTGTGTGCATTTGTGCACGCTCCAGTTTTGTCCATAAGCACAGAGCGTTAACTGTGCATCAAAACATCTCCAACAGAGAACCAGAAAAGACAGAAGAGAGTAAAGTGGACATTCAACGACAGTCAGTAACACCTGTGGGTGGCCAAACCTGCACCCTCTGCTTGTCGGGAAGCTGTGAGGCTGGAACCATTTCCTAAGACACGTGCATTCATGAGGATAATGGCCTGGAATTCATGCTGGACACCTCACAGGTTGTTTAAAACTGGCCAAAAAAGTTTCTACATCATCTTCACAGCTGCTGCGAGATCACATGCCATCTGGTGACGGTGAGAGTGAGAACTATCCTGTAAGAGAGGCGGACCAGCTGCCATGGTAAACCTGATCCGAGGCGAGATGTGAGTGATGAGGAGCAGTGCAGAAAAATGTGACATGAATGCCTAAATTGGGGATCAGTGAGGTTTTATCTACAGTAACATGCATATCTGGGGGGGGGCGGGGCGGCAAGACAGAGAGGCGTGTTGAAAACACACATTAGGTTCCTGAAATCCTCAGAGAGATACAGTCACCTTTAAAACATTTCATGGGATCTTGGACCTGTGAAAGGCTCTATCAAATCCTTAAATAAGTTGGGGGCATTCCTTACTTAAATGCCAGCCAGACAGGGAATAACGGGTCTTTGCGGGTATTTTTGCAAGTGGACTTGTTGGAGACAGAACGTCTGAGAGAGGGAATGGAGATGAAAACAAACAACAATGTACACTCCACATCAGTCACTCCAATGTGTTCTTCCAGCTCAGTTTTCACGTGACAAGTTTGGGTAATTAAAGCACGATTTACACATTTAAAACTCCCCCCCTTGTTTGGGTGTGAAGGTGTACCGTGGGGGTTTGGTGTCTGCCCGTCCAGGTCCGAGGGAGCAGAATATTTCTGTGTCAACGTCTCCTTCGGCGCTTAATCGCTTGTCTGGTGGTGTGACATTTTGCAGGTGGGACTCATTACATTCATCACAGCCATCCTAAGGTACTGGACAAATGACTGGCATGGCACTTGCAGCACTGTTTATGACGACTGAGTCAGCAGACTTTCATTCATTTGATTCAAGCAGCCAAGAAAAAAACTAAATGAGGGGGGGGGGGGGGCAAGATTTCTCCAAAGATTTACAAAACTTCAAAGCCTAAAGTCTGATTATCTACAGTTGACCCTTTAAAGGAGGCATAGACATATAGCATGAGCTGAATGGGTGCAAGTGGTTCAGTAGTCAAGTCATGTGCCCTCTCTTCATCTTCCTCCTCATCTAGTGGGTTGAGAGGTGTGTGTGCGGTGAGCAGCTTTGGCTGAGGCTCCTTGTCAGGTGGAGCCTTCTGGTGGCCTCTGTTTGTATCAGCTCTGGAAACACATCCACTTCGGGGGAAAAGAGTAGAGGGTGCCGATTTGAGATGGAAGGGTAAAAATTGTCCCGGACAGATATGAAATGATTGATGACATTAATGCCCGGCTGCTCCAAGTGAGGACTCAGACGCAGGAAGACGTACTGTAAAGGGTTTCGTGTCTTTGTTCGAACAGCCCTGGGAGACTGCTCGGCTCACTGTCATTCCAAGTTGCTGCTCTCAGAGATGTTGAGAGTGTTGGCGGAGGGGAAGAGGTCTCTTTGGTCCGTGGGGCTGTGGTAGTCAGACGTCAGGTCGGGGTCCAGGAGGGAGGACAGGGTGAAGTGGGACGAGCCTTTCTTCAGGCACTGGGAGTAGAAGCTGAGCAGGAGGTCCAACTTGTTCTCTATAGACTGTACCTGAACAAACACACACATAAACGTGTCACGCTTCTTTGCTACGCTAGTTTATTGTTATGGTATCGACTGTCTCACTGAGCTTTCTGGTATTGTTATTATTGCCTTGCTTGTGCTGCTTTGTCTGTCAAAGCACTTTGTAAACTCTGTTTATAAAGGTGCTATATAAATAAAGTTATTATTATTAATATTCTATTTCATCAGTCTTTCCAATGAGATGAAGCATGTGGAGTTTTCTGTCCATGACAATAAATGTCCTTGGGTATTTCAATTTACACTACTTTTATATTACTGGACTTTTGTTTTGTTTTTATGTTTGTTTCCTGTCTTTTCTCTTCTTTTGAACCTGTTTTTGTATGTTGTTGTTCTGTCCATAACTCTGGTACATAATGGTAAATGACATCATTTCCTGCTCTCAGTTTATTTCACTTCCTGTACTTTGTACGGCAGCGGTTTTATCGACCAGGGTGAATGAAAGCAATCCAGTGAGAATTTGAAGTTGATTCACATGTTTAACTAAGAGCACACAGTTCCACAAATGCTATATAAATGAAACTCTTCCTCTGTTACCTGTTTCTCCACCTTGACAACACGTCCCATCATGCTCAGCTCATCCAGTGGGTCCAGTTCTGGCGGCGTTTTCTCTCCCTTTTCAGAGCGCGCTTTCTTATCGGTCTGAACGGCTCCTCGCCCAATTATCTGATCCACCCTTTCACACAAAAGAAACCAAACAGATTACCATCAATATGATGAGGACTTAGACTTACCGGACAATGCTATTTTTTTTAAACTGTTTTTTTATTGATTTGGCATAAGCTATTTTTTCAGAGCAGTAGTTGTAACATACCGCATCTGCAGGCTCTTGATACGGCCCAGCATATCCAGGTGTCCAGCTGAGTACTGCTCTATGACGTCCTTCACATCATACGGACGCAGCGTCTCCTTAAACTTCCTCTTGGCCACAAGGAACTTTAAGATCCTACACAAACACAGCACACTCACTGTTATCACTCCTCTGAACACCTTTAAAGGGCCTCACACTGCACACCCACATATGTGGACGTACAGTAAACCTTTGGAAAAATGCAGGAGCAGGACAAACGATGCGGGAGACCCTGAAAATAACAAGATTAATTACAGTCAGAGTGACCTTATCATTCACCAGCAGCCCCATAAAGAGAGCAGATTCGCCCCCCTACTTAACCATGTGGATGTATTGTGATGATGACACATCTCCCAGAGACAGTCGCTTATCAGTGCTTGCTGTTTCAGCAATTAGCACAAATCCTAATGGGTAACACACACACACACACACACACACACACACACACACACACACCTCTATCGGAGCTTTCCCCTGTTCCTCCTCTTTTGTCAGTATGACAGCCATGTTGGTGCCACTGGTGGACCACAGCTGCTCCTACTCCCAGTGCACACATCACCACCCACATTTCAATGTGGGGGAATCACACCGAGGAATGTTGGCCCAGCACTACTGCAGCCGGCAAAAAACATATCGCTGACATCCTCTTTTGCCAGAGTATGTCTGGTTGGGTGTCATGCTGTAGGGAGTGGAGGATATGCAAGAGATAATGGGAAGGGAGCGAAGGAAATGTGTGCATGTGTGTGTGTGTGTGTGTGTGTGTGTGTGTGTGTGTGTGTGTGTGCCTCTGGCTTTCTGTGTTGGGTGGGTCATTCAATTCTCCTTTTTATCACTCATGAGATAGGCAGCTCGGAGATGCTTGCTCCGCAGAAGCACCGGAAACACCAAATGTATGCGAGACAAAACATGCACACTGAAGCTGTCATTGTGGATTGTGCTACAAGTCAGCTGGGGGAGACGGAGGAGTGAGAGAGAGTGGAAGGGATATTTTTTTTAAACTAAGAAACCCTATCTCACACAGCCAGAGGACTAAATCCACTATAATACTCCCACTTTCCTTCACAGGAGGAAGAAAAGAAATCACATCAAAGGTCTGAGAAGCAGAAGATCAGGAGCACTCAGCTGTTCTGAGAAAACGTCACACTTACACACACACACACATCTGTGTACACAACCGCACACATGCACAAAAATACAAAAAAAAAAATAATGCCACAGATGCCTACACCAACACACACTCTGGGTCAAAAGTATGTACACACCGACACAACTACACACACCTGGGCTTAGTGGGAGCAAGTGAAATCTGAACTTGAGAGAGGGGTCAGCTTCTGAAATAACCACTGTAACCTTTGTTGAGGTCTGCAGCACTTGCACTTACAGCTGCCACATACAGCACACAGTTTTGTGTGGTGACCAGTGCTGCAACAAAGAAGGAGAGAAGGTGTGAGGGAAGGAGAAGAGGAGCGAGAGGAGGAGTGGTGGTCTTCGGCTGGTGGCATAGCAGCCGTCAGCGCACTCTTCCCCACACGCAGCACTCTGTTTATTGATGACTCCTGCATTTGGGGTATTTTTGCAGGCGGTCTTATTCTTATTTTGCTGGTAGATGCAGATTTTTTTCGCCAGGGTGGGTCTCAGGTTTGGGTAAAAGAAGAAGAAGGCTCTGGAGGTGGAGGGGGGGACTTGGGGGACTTTTGATTTGGATCCTCCAAGGGTTTCTTTGAAATGCTGACTCTTTTTCTCGGTCATTGAAATGGCTATTATAATACATGGTCTGAGTGTGGCCCCCTCTCCCCCCCCCTCCCCCTCCCCCCCCTGTGGTGCAACAGGGTCAGTGGCAGTAGTACAGTACAGCTGGCAAGGCTCACTAGGACATATTATACCTTCCTAATGTAAGGAAGTTGAGACGTAACAGCACAGCAATGATTGGAGGGACAGGAAGTGTCATCTGTGCCCCAAAATGCTTGCATAGCTAGTGCAAACATTTTTGCAATTCAGCAAAGGTGATAGTCTCCAATGGCAGGGTTTAATCTGTGCCTTAACAATGACTGTTATGCTGACACCAATCCTACGTGGGCCAAGAAGGGTGAGCCACTGCAGGGGCGAGTCTGATTCTTCACCAGATACGACTACCTCCCTGCTAAGAGAACAAAATCTTCGCACATTCAATCATTCCTACAGAGAAATATACGACGTAAACACTATTTGAGTTTATAAATATTACAGCTGATACGATACAAAAACTGATGACGATGACTAAGGATCAAATGGTTATAAATTGAAAGCATGTCCAAACTATTTGTTTAATAAAATAGGAGCTTCATCCAAGACTGCAAACGTGCAGAATTTTTTGAGTTTTGTGCAGTATTGGATTTGCGCGTGTGGAGAATCAGTACAGAGAGCACAGAGAGATATCAGGCCTTGTGTTCCCATCCTCCCCTTATTCTTCTCTTGCTTCCTCCGTACACAAACACAACACTGAACGCATTTACTGATAAACCACATGTGCCTCTCCAAAGTGAAGTCTCAGCACTAAGGCCTGCTGCGAAATTCTGTGTTTCACGAACATCAATCATGAAACTCGCCAAGGCGACTGCATGTGTGTGTGTGTTACCACAGTGAAGCACCTGCTGTTTACACACCTGCACTATCTATAGGAACTCCCTCTCTTCTATTGTCTGCACAGAGCAGCTGAGGTCACAGATGTCTGCTGTGTCGAGTGCAAACCAGAGGTGAGGTCATATCATACCCTGTCAGTGGCATAATGAAATCAGAAGACTATATCAGGCCGTTCAGTTAAAAGTGATATTTCTGATGTCTTTGAAGTGGGTTAAATGAGATACTTATTATCAAAACGAATCCCTCTTCGTGTGCTCTCAACATCCTGCCCGTGACAAGTATATGGATCTTTCAGTTTCTATATTCTCCCATTTCAAAAATGCCCTTTCTTTCAAAGGTTATAGAAAAAGGTGTTGCTCAACAATTGATTGCTTTTTTTAAAACAGAAACGAACTCTTTGAGAGATTTCAGTTTGGTTTTGGGTTAAAAATATAATTTTTACCTTGCAGAAGACAGGGGTTGCTAGTGCCTCGATCGGTTGGTTAGTTTGTAGTATTGTGTGACTTTGGTGTTTTAAAGGGTTAATTTGGATCCACACAGTCACACAATAACACTAACTAACTAACTGAATGAGGCAGCAGAGGACCAGCAACCTCCGTGTTCTGCGAGGGATGAATGTTTTTGTCAAAGGAGTCCCATGGCTTTGAAGAGAGCATAAATAGATATAACGGCTTCAGTTCCCCGTCTGACAGCAAGATATGCTTATTATCTCCACAAGAAGGATGAAGCGATCGGTTGTGCGAAGACAGCACTGTTGATGATGTGATTATACAGTATGCATTCTAATAACTAGGACACCAGAATGCCCAACACAGGGTTTATTTCCAGGCACAAACCGAGCTTCACAGAGAGCATATGGAACCACACACACAGCGTAGCGCTACCATGAGGAATGCTGTGAGGGAACAGCCCTGACATCAGGGACCCAGAAGGTAGTCTTTATAATCCGCTGTCATCAAACCTCACTGGAGACCAGCCTGGCCCCAGCACCAGATGTTTGCTAGCAATTGTAGTTTCTGCCACCATCAGTAAAAAAACTCTACGCTGCTACTCTGGGAGTATGTGCGTGCGTGTGTGTGTGTGTGTCTGTGTGTGCGCGTGTTTGTAGGGGGAGGCTGCATTCATGATATTGTTGGTAACCCTATGAGATATCTGCACATTTCAGAACAGAAGGTTATGTATTTGTGCATTTTGCACACGAGTAATTACTAATTATTTTAATTGCGGTATAGATTTGCCAACAGAGCATTTCGTCACTCACACACTGTCCATGATTTATGAGTACCTAGTTTATATGTGCAAAGTTTTTGCTTTTCTTCATGACTGTGCACGCTGAATTAATTCAAAGTGTCTTAGCACACACTGTGTAAGGACATCCATCACTGACATACTACTGCGACATTACATCAAAGCTTGTAGTAGATAAAGAGAATGACAGCAATCAACATCAGCAATGCTCTTAATCAATTGTTGTTACAGCTGTCCCTGTCTACGCTGTACAATATCATTGGTCTCTGCACCCTCGTAATGTACTGTGATCCTCCATCTGTACGGTATTTGTGCGTATGTGTGTGTGTGTACTTTACTATCACACCACATGTCTGGTCCGAATGAGCTGTGCTTGCTGAGTGACAAGGTCACACAAGGGAACTAACCCTGCCTGCAGGAGGGCTCAGTTACCTCTCCTAAGTGGACATTTCTACTCCATCAGCCGAATCTGCTCACGCCAGCACCTAAATGGAGGTGCCGCATGTTCACCAAATATTGCAGGCAGTGAAATTCCACGAGAAGCGCCCATGTCTGAATACACATGCATGGGTTGTTCATCTGACCAAAGTGACCTTATTCTATAAATAACCAGAGGCTCAGCAGCTCCAGCTTGCACCTAAAGGAGCTTCGTGCGCAAAAAAGGAGACACAAGCTTTTACTGCCCAAAAAGTCCTCTGCTAGAGGTTTTCACATTTATATACATTTGAAGCCTTTAATGGTACAATACTCTAAATGATTTGGTAGAGTTATAATTGTATTTATCTATATATGTGTTGTATTTAACTCTAGTTAAACTAGTTTTATCTATGTTTCATATGTCAAATGTAAAACATTTTATCTGTTGGGTTTTAGACATTGCCATGGCCATACATACATGGCCATACAACTATTATTTTAATAACAGATCTCAACTGTTCCATTGCTATTAATTGGGTGGGTCCATTACAGGGTAGCAGAAGGACCAGCGTACGTGTACACCTTTATAACAATAACAATTGTAGGTTTTCCACTGCAGGTATAACTAATATACTGTTGATGGCAGGACTCACCTGACAGCCCGTATGAGCGTCTTCACTGCTGGGATTACCTCCTCCATGGACACATCACAATATGGTTTGTCTTCTACACTGTCCTCCCCAATCCCCTCTACTGAGCCAAGACAGAAGGAGAAACATCAAGCAGCAATGATCTTTGTGAGTGTAACGTGTTTGGGATATGTGTGCGTTGCCTACCATCAACAGGTGGACGTGGTTTGAGGCGAAGGGAGGTGCGAAAGCGCGTGCGGTCATTAAAGCTCCAGCTCTTCTGGACCTTCCCGGGGCTGGTGGCCTCGGGGACGTTCTCCTGGCTGGGAGAGCTGCGGACACTGGAGCCCGGGGGCAGCGGTGACGCCTTGCTCCTCATGGTTTGGGATGATCGGGAATTGTTCATCCTGATCCGATCCCGAAAGCCCATTTTACTGCTGACAGTGAAGATTACATCGTCATTATTATTTTTGGATTATTTTCTCAATGATCACAATGTCCATGCCTTTGACCTTAATGGAAAACTAAGCTGTTAGTTTAGTGGAGCAGCAGAACGGCAGCCTGAGCTTGTTAGAAAAGAGGTAGTTAGTTAAAGTGAACAAAACATGGCCTCTGACTTTTACAACAATCATCAGAGAAACTCCACAAACGGACAAAACAGGGACACAAACAGACATTTACATGTTGTCTCAAAGAAGGACAGACTAGCTGACTTATCATAAAGGAAGTTTGACCACAGGCACCATGCAGTATTGCTAAAAAACTGATTCTGCCCTGCAGATTTGCTAATTTAATGTGCCTATCATAGCACCTGATTCAGCAAAATCAGATTGAAACCTGATTCAAGACTTGCAGTAGTGCTGGGCCGGCGGAAAATGTTCCAACCACCGTCACAATAACGACACGCTTTCTTAATCCCTTCAACAGAGTGAAAAAGCATCAAAACATCGGCTTCAAAGTGCAGCCGTGCAGAAGGTGTCTCTCATTAAGCACTCTGTACCACTCACAACAGCCCAACGCAGGCCGGTATGTGACGTCATCTATTTACAGGAGGAAAGCTATTTGGCACCCATTCTCTCCAACAGATTGACTCCTAACGTGGCTGTAATAGCACGCTCTTGAGAGCACTCCTCTGAAGGCACTTTCATGTTGCACACTGTCACGGATCCATAAGGCAAGGCAAACATCATGCACCACAGAGCAATTCCAGCCCGCTCGTTCACCCCCACATGTTTACGATGATATACTCTTTGTTGTGCGTGTGTGTCAGCTGGCCATTTAAATTAAAATTGAAATGGTTATTGGGGGGGGGGGTTAGTGGGAACAGCATTTCATACAAGCAAGCTGAAATGTTTCAAGCAGACTGGAGGAGAAGATAGAGGGAAAGAGCTTTGCATGCTGTTGGGAGAGCAAGCAAGTGATTTGGATGCATTCAGGACGATGAACTTCACTGAATCTTTCCAAAACGTTGAAAGAATATCGCATGCAAAGAGAAACATTTTAGCACTTAAAGAAACCTTTTGAAAATACAGCACACAAACATACTGATTTTATTGAAAGGTTACATGACTAATCTCAAACAGGGAAGCATTCTGAATCAATTAAACCTTCTCTCCAAGAAGGCACTATAAATGATCCAAACGACTGAATTGAAAACATAAAGCAAGTCAAGGGCAGGGCAATTCTTTTGACGAGATGAAACATTTGATGTTAGCTAACTAGGAACAGGTGTTTTTGTCACATTGTCATAAACTATTGTGGACTTCCGTTGTGTTTTCAACACATGGTTTATCCTGACTTTCAAGCCAAACCAAGCAACATCAGCCCTCGTTACTCCAGCAGGAAAGTCTTAGCTGGAGTAACATCCTGTCAGAAAAGAGGATCACAGCATTTCTTCACAGCGGAGGATCCACTCAAGCATTTGTGGACCAGAGTATAGTGCCCGTTTAAAGTATTTAACTGATAAGTGCAGGATGTCGTTAAAAAATAAAACAACAGTAACAAAACATTTAGCGAGCCGCTGCACCAGTCCACAAATGTTTGAGTGTGTGAGGCGAGGTGTGGAGGATGCGCGTTAAGTGAGAAACAGTAGTGTTGTCGATTTATAGCGTGCCCCGTGCACAGGCTTGCTGCCATGGATACCTCTGCTTGCGGCCAGCGTGAATCCGGAAGAGACCCCGTTTTTTAGAAAGGAGTTGACTGAGGAAAGACACAAGGCAGAGGGAGAGAGGGTGAGGGAAGGAGAGGAGTGGAAGGAGGGAGGGAGGGAGACGGGGGATGAAGGAGGACGAGAAGTTGTGGGACACAACCTGGGTATGAGGTGAACCCGTGAGGATAAAATGTTGTAAAGGACAAAAACCAGGGAGGGAGGGTGAGGTGGAGGGGTGAAGCGTGAGATCTCAATAATCCAAACAGCCCTTTTCCTTCCTGATCTAGTTCCTTTACCTAAAATTGAAGAATGTACTTCTGAGAGGCATGTTTTGGATTATGGAGACAGAGTCGGTGAGAAGTGAGGAGGTGGGTTTGAAACAGTAGGTTGGGAAGATTCAAGCAAAGGTAGTAGGTAATGTTTCAACGGAGTATATTCATCAAGACAGCCCATTAAACATAATGGTGTGACAGCAGCTCCTCAAATCAAAGACATTTTCTACCAGCTAAACTTTTATTATTCAGGTGCTTCTCTCATCTAATCCATGCACAAGTCCGATACATACAATTTAAATAATCAGCCCTTTACTATCTAGGCTTTTGTTTAAGGTCTATGCTAAAGATGTTATGAATATAATGCAGCAAATCCACTCTAACTATGAATACCCTTTAACACGCAAGCACAGCTCATGACTTGAAGAACAAACCTGGATGGAACTTCTGCCTTCCTGAGAACAGATGAAGGATGGATGGCATGGAAAAGACACAGTGGAAGTAAAGGGAAAGAAAGGAAGACAGGAAGAGGCAACCAGTGAGTGAACAGCGGGAGGCGGTGGAGAAGAGTTTGAGCTAAGCAGACAAAGATGCAGAGAAGCAAAGGGGGGGGGGGGCCTGCAACACAGTGGTCTCAAATCAGCATTAGTCAAACATTGTTAGATACACAACTCATCCATGCAGAAAGCTCCAAAAGCAGTCTACGTTGATTCTCTTTGTACACCTGTTGAATGTGTTCTCCTGTAAGTCCCTGTTGTTACTGTTTTGAGTGTGTTTGGGTGTCTGTGTGTGAGCACGAGTTGTAGGCAGACATTCGGCCACCTGTCTGTGTGTGCTGTGAGGCTGTGAGAGGTGGAGGGGTGCGTACCTGTCCCCTGACAGGTAGGGGAGGCTGTAGGGCCGCAGCCCAGACAGCAGCGTGTGGTAGGAGTTGTGGAGGACCTTCTTGGTGTTACCCTGTCGCTGGAGGTGACTGAACAGTAGCGTCAGTTCTCTGACACCCCCATGTGCACAAATAAACGAAACAAAAAAACATGACAAATGAACAAAAAACAACAAAATATGGAGAAACTCACAAAAAGGCCAAATCAATGGTCCAAACGCTCAAAAGAAGAGGGATACTTGAGAGGAATATGACATATGTGAAGTTTTTTTTATTCAAAATATTGCAATGTGAAAATTTTGACTTGATGAAAAGAGATGTTTCTGTTTGAGTTTTTCATGTTTCCCTCCTTTTTAAGCAAATCAAAATTAGTGAAATTAATACATGAATGCAAAATATAAGAAACCACTGCGTAGAACAAAAGTAATGAAAATCTAATTGAATAGCGGTGGCAGAAACATTTAAAGGGCTTGGCCCAGAATTAATTAAAAATGATCATTTAGAAATTAGAGGAAACACCATTCCTGTTTACTTAAAGGGGACATATCATGCTCATTTTCAGGTTCAAACTTGTTTTGGGGTGTTTTAATATGTTTACATTTTTTTATGTTCAAAAAACACATTCTGTCTGTAACATTTCAGTGCACCTTTGCAAAGGTAGTCCTCAAGCCGTGGATGGACAGTATGTTCTCATGAGCCTGCATGTGACATAGGAGTCAAATCTTAATAGCTTGTTGAATCACATGTTTGCTGATCTAGGAAGCCCACAAACCCGACTGGGTTGTCTTATTTCACAGTGTGTGGGTTGGTAGGCACTCCAGAAACCCAAATGTATGTGCACAAGCACTGAAAAAGAGAGTTTTTCATAATATGTCCACTTTAAACGACCACTGCACAAATGTAACTGAATGGGGTTCTTTATGGACAGCAGGTCGCATTTCTGATATTTTTTGTGTGTTTTAATAATATTACGAATACATGAGCAGGAACAAAGAAACACTACTTATTGTACACAATTCCCTGTTATGTGATGCTACTCTCAAATCGCTGTGTGTATTTATTACAACACGTCAAACAATTGAGCAAAGACAACAACCAATTTCTGCCGGTTGAATCCACGCAGCTCTGAGCATGTAGACGGATGCGAGGACTCACCTGAACGAAGGCAACATGCTGTCATAGAAGTACCATGTAGCTGTCAGATAGGAGTGTTTGGCATCTGTAGAGTAGAGACGCCATGCAGCCTAAAGAATTACACAAACACACACAAACATCAAGTGAAACTCTGCACTTGTGTGTGACATGTTACCACGGCGTAAATGACTCACTCTGGCTATTACCTGTATCAGGTTGGCAGCAGGCATCCTCCTCTTCTCAAAGTGCTTCTGTCGATGCTGCTCTTGAACCTTCAAAGCGAAGCCTGACCCCAGAATTCCCTGAGGGTCAGAGGTTAAATCAGAGTCAGGAGAGCAACTGTAGCCGGGCTGAGAGGCGCCACCGACAGGGCTGTGAGTAAATATATAGATGTGAACATACAGGGGACTTACAGCAGGCAGGGCAAAGAAGGACACTCCCAAAAGAGCGAAGCCAGCAGCTAGGAGCCGTCCTTGCCAAGTACGAGGGGTCTTGTCACCGTAGCCAATGGTTGTTAGAGTAATCTGGACGGGTAAAAAAATTAACCTTAGTTTGTACAAAAGAGGCCTTAACCCAAAATGTGCCAATTCAATGTGGTACTACATACTTTTAATACAGTTTTAAATATAGAAAGAGAAGGAAGAACAATAAGATGTAGAAAAAAACATAGATAACTATTACCAAACCACGGAAGTGAGAGATATTAAAGAACCACAAAAAAATCTATTTTTCCTGGGAAAACTGACATTACCACCTCTTTGGCTGGACTTAATCATCTCTATACATATAAAAACTAAAGGTGAAATGTGGTGCTGCTTTTCATTGAAATGTCTTGCAACAGGACTTCATTCCTCTTAATGGAGCACCTGTGTTCAGTGATACGTTCTTTAAGGGACCAGGATGTTTAACCTATTTATATTTTACCACACAGACAATGAAGAACATCTGGAAAGCTTGACAACAAGACTGAACAACACTGTACTGTTGACACCTGGAATCTCTCTGATTGGATATAATATACAGTTGTCAAGGACTACAATACAAATGTGATCTACAGTGTTATTGTTTGGTTGTACTATTCCCAGATGTCTTACGCATATTATGTGCATCTCTATATTTGCATTGTTTGTCGACTTCGCTTTTTGTTAATAAGACACTTTTGATGACCTTCAGCCTCAGGGATCCTGTGTGTATTATGCGGTACTCACAGTCCCCCACCAGAGGGAGTCTGCATAGGTGCTGAAGTCTGAGTTGATGTCTTTCTCTGCCAGGTACACCAGAAAGGAGGCAAAGATCAGGACCAGGAAACCTATGTACCAGGCGGTAATCAACTCCTGAGAGAGACACAGAGAGAAGGAATCAATCATCTGTCAGCAACAACAGCATGTTTACCATCATAATCCCTGCTGTCATTACCGTATCACTATCATCATTATTGGCTAAATTCCCCGTCATCATCACATTTGGAATCTACTTTTGACTTGGCTGCACAGTTCTGCTTATACCGCTGATGCATCAATTCATCATGATCACCACCGCCGCTCTAACTGAGTTCTGCAGCTGACCGGACGGTGTCGGTGTTTGGGTCAGCACAAAAACCAACAACTAATTGCCTAAAATGAACAGCTAAAGGAGAGTTTGGTGTTTGAGGGCAGTGAGCGCAATCAAGTTACAGCTGGTCATCAGCAGACGCACCACATATTCCTCAACACTGAGAGTTATTAAGTTATTTATCCCATTAGTAACCATCATGACCATCATCCTCAGCCTTTTAATAACACTCTCCTTCCTGCTCTTACAATAATCCATAAAGCTGTACAGCATGCGGCTACCATGAATTATCATACTTTATGTACATGTTTACGAACCGGTGTCTTTAAATGTAGGTCAGTAACATAAACCTCAGAAAGTGTGTCTTTGTAGTAGAGCATGTGTAAAAGGAGGACTATATTTAGCGGGCTGTCATTCCCACCTTGCTGTGAGCGTAAACCACTGAGCCCAGTAGTTTCCAGGTGCCTCCCCGACGGTCCATACGAACCATACGCAAGATCTGCAGGAAGCGCATGCTGCGCAGCGCTGACGTGGCGAAGATGTTGCCCTGCGTCCCAGCTGCTATCACTGCCAACGATGCCACAAATACTATGAAGTCTGTGAAGATGTTTAGAAAGGAAACACAAGAGTGAAGAGGTGAGGACACAACTTTCTAAAGAACACACACACAATAGCTTTGACGTGGGTTTGTGTACTGCCGACACACATACACACACACACACACACACACTCACAAACCGACCTATGACACAGAAGGGCTTCCTGGCAAATCTCAGCCGTCCCTTCCATCCACGGTATCTGCAGCAACAGCCAGCTGCCCAGACCCTGATGAAGTACTCCAACCCAAACACCACGATCATCACAAACTCCTACAAACCACACACACAAAAACACACACACACACGCACACACAAGTCAGTGACATGCAGCTGTCAAGTGAGCGTAGAGTTTGACAGATCGCCCAAACAAATGTTCCCCCACTTACCCATGAACCTTTTTTTAGGTGTATGTATCAGTTGGTTAGCATGTGTATCAGTTTCTCAACAGAAAAGTCTCCCCTTAAACAATACATTCAAGTTATTAGTTATATTCAAAGCATCATATTGGTGTTTGTGAAGCAAACATCCACGTGAATATGGCAGCATAAAAAGTTAAAAAGCGAGTATCAAAGTCGGGAGGTACATTTTTTCGTGATGTACACGTGCTATGCTCTATTTATCAAACCTTTGTCATAACATCATTTGACCTGGCTGGTAAAATAAAGGTTAAAATGTTACAAAGCAAGCAATTTAAAGATTAAAAAAAATGAATATACGGTATATCATAACACTCCCAGACTACTAACTCTGTCAGTATTTTTCAATATCTCTTTGTTTCTCTTACTTTCAGGTTTCTCGACTGTACGGACAGTTTAAGGTGCACTGAACCAATCTGTCATTAGGGCCAATGTTTGTGTAAGTAAAGTGCACTAATGGCTGATTGCCTGCTAATGGCCGGGTGATTGATCGAAAGAGTGAACAGAAGGAATGTGAAAGTCAAGAGTCTGACTATTTAATAGCATGTAAAGATGATTAAGGTGGGAGGAGAGGGGGGGGGGGGGGGTAGAAAGAGGACGAGTCAGGTTAAGAAGGAGGAAGCGAGTGTACATTACCTTTCATGAAAGCAACTGGAGCACGGAGTAAGAGGGGGATTTATGGGATAGCTATTAAGATTAGTGTGTGTGTGTCTGTGATTTCCTGCGCAGTCAACAACACCTGAATCCTCCCACCTGCTTACACGGCTGTTTGTGCCTCCACTGGCAAACAAAGCAACACGTACGCAAGCACATATGAATGCACTGCAGTAAGTGAGATGGCGTGTATAAAAGGAAGGTGTATGGACGCTGAAGTCGTGTGCGTGCGTTTGTGTAGCGAAGCAGAGAGAGGGGGAAAGGTCGTACCAGGATGAAGAGGCCTTGGTTGGCAAACTTCTGGTGGTCGGGGATGGTGGAGAACACAGACAACACCAAGCAGCTGAACACCAGCAGAAAACTGAAACGCAGAGTCACACACAGGTCAGAAAACACATTTCAAAACACACACATGATAAATAATCCTGGGTTGATTAAATCCCTGCAGGGGGAAAACAAATGGACAAAATAAAACTCATTAAAATATGCTTTGTTCACTCTGAGTGATTAACCAACAGAGGAAAACAAAATTGCAGATAAGCAGGAAAAGATTTGTTGATCCGTTACGTAATACAAGCACGCCAAGTCAAATACGGTCAGTCCACAAGAATCAGAACAACGTAACCAACTTTAGTTGTTTTTGCTGAATACACATGACTGGATGAAAGGCAGCATCTATAGTTGTACTGAAGGAATTTACTTTTGAAAGTGTTAAGCAGGATGTCTGTTAAAATGAACAATAGCAACATGGAGATGACTGGTACTTCTTTCCCAGGAAGACTGGGACCCTGCAGCTCTGCTGGGACATAAATCACTGTCCCACATACGTAAGGGCCACTTCAGTTAGAGAACTACTCCGAGGGGCTTTCATGTTAGTACACTTTGTCTCTTTCACGACACAGGAGGAGAGGGAAGTCTCGACTAGACAATCTCGTACATTACAGTACGTTTGTTTCAGTTAAGGAACACACTTGTCAACATCTCTTTAAATTAACAAAACTATTATCACACACATTTCTAGTTCATAGTGCATTTCTCACGTACAGCTATTATACCAATAACGCGCGGGTTCCCTTGTGGTCAAATCTTTTTAGGAACAGGTTACAGACCTACCTCAAATAAACTAAGGATGATGCATTAAGTATAACTTCAAAGTTAAAACATTTACGTTGGAAATAGTGAGCTGCTGAAAAGAAAAGTGTTGGCACTTATGTGGCAACCGCCACACTCTGTCCCACTTAAACAGTGGAAAAAGTTATTGTGAGATGTTACAGACAAACTGTTGACAGCGAGATTAAGAGGGACCAGACAGCAGAGAGGTTTCTGCAGGAGGAATTCGATTTCAAACAGTCAGGATGTAAAACCCACATTGTATTTTTTCTGTCAACAAAGATATCATTTGTGTTATTTGTTGTTAGTTTTTATAATTTGTTCTTTTTTTTTCATGGAGTTTTCTGTTATTTATCACATCGACTTTTGTGAGAATCATGTGCGATGATGGCTGGTTGTTTGTAGGAAGTGGGAAGAAGGGGTTGACCTAAAAGGAAAGATCACTGAGGGCAGCCTGGAGAACAATACTGGGGCTAACTGGTGTGAAAAAACACCAACCTTCATATTACTGTAAGTGACACAGCAACATTATTTAATCAGGTGGTCTCATTAAGATCAAGAGATACCTGAAAACAACCAGCATTTAAAAACAATATAAAGTTAGACAACAGCGATGGCGTCACAAAAATGAAAAAAACAGATAATAAATGTCAAAATGTCTACCTGTGGTTAATAATGCAGAAGCAGGTAGATATAGTTCTGTATTTCCTATATTTTGTATAATGGCATTACCTTATAGTTCTATCTACAAAACCTTTTCTTTTGTTACTAAAAACACGGTTACAAAACGAGAGGACTTTCATTCGCTTTCATTGGGATTAGCTTTAGACAAAGCAGTCAGAACGCTAACATATTGTATACTGTAGTCAAGTGTTCATCCCAACAATGTTTGACAAGGCCCGAAGCAGCTTAACAACAAGTCTAAAAAGAACAAGAGCTGAGAGAGGGAAGGGAGTCGCACACAAAGACACAGCAGCACTTCCCGCCTTCTGTGCCATGTGAACAGCGAACAGCAAGGCAGGATTAGCAGGTGGCAGCTGCTGGTCCAGCTGGTCGAGATGTCAGAGCCCAAAGTTAGAGAACACTTGTTGGACGCTAAACCAAATCTCATGGTCTCACACAATGGTGCCCTTTCTCTGCGATTAATGCGATCGCCTGACTATTACTTGTTTGATCCCACCCTCTAATACGACAGAAGCGTTTCCTAAATATGCGTCTCCACCAGTGGCAGGAGATCAGCATGCCTCATTCACATGTCCTCAAGTTTTAAACATGTGGCTAACGTTGGGAAACTTTCGCAGTCTGGTTTAAGGTTTAAGTAAAAAAAAAAATAGCTGGTTACATTTTGGAAAATATCGTGGTTTGGGTTAAAAGTGCATGAATATAATCCCAGAAGTTATCTCACGGTGTGTGTCTTGTAGTAGTGAGTGTGTCGTGTAGTGGAGTTGGTGTGTTGTGTAGTAAAGTGTGTGTTATGTAGAAAGGTTGGTGTGTCATGTTTTGAAGTTGGACCAAATGTCAACGCTGAGTTATTTTAACCTACGTACCTAAGTTAACTTACGTCACATGCTTAACTTGTATCAGGTACTTAACTAACATCACGTAGGTTAACGTATCTACCTAACCAAACTGTGACTGTTTCGAGGGCGTATCATGTAGGTGTGTCTTGTAGCACTATGCAACCGCATATAGACCTACTTTTCTCAAACCCGACCTCTTTTCTTGGCGGACTTTGTTGCTCTTTATACTACTACTAAATCACCTGACTCCCTCCTTTGCTCGTGTCATAATTACCACAGCCACTAGAAGTCATCGTCAACAATAAACGTGACTATAGGTCGTAATAAGCTGCTTGTACAAACAAAATATGTGGTCGTTTTTTGGGGGAGGACAGTCTCGATCAGCAAGGGTCTCACTGGGCTAATGTGTGTGAAATAAAATGCATTTTAAGCACTCGCATTAAAAAGCTGCTTTAAAAACGTGTGCGAAACAAACAAATACTGGACTGCATGTAATCTATAGAATTCCCAGACAAATTCCCACCGAACAAATCTAAAAGTGACAGAAAAACAAGACGTGAAACTCACAAACAAAATAATACATCCATCAGCAATCATTTAGAAGAAGAGGAAACAAAAAGAAAGACTTATTTCCTCTCAGACTAAAACAGTGAGGGTCTAAAACTGGGTTCGAGACACCCCTAAATTGATAAGATTTATCTTCAGGGACCTTCACTTGAAAAGATTTTGGTTGTTAGATATGCTTAAGACCAGAATTCTTTAGTTGGCAACAGTTGAGGAGAAACCTGAGGAGGTGAAACCTTTGATCAGAAAAGTCCCTCTTCTTCTAGTGAATTAAAAAAACAGTGAAAATGAGCTATTCCCCATTTCCAGATACAGTCAGTCTGAAAAGCCTGAATTTTGCTCGTTTCATCTTAACTGCATCCAAAAAGAGTGTTTGGTCATCACATGTGTGAGGAGTCAGTGAAGGAGCAACTTCTCCGACTGTTTTTGTTTCGTCTGCCTGGCCGGCCACAGTTTCCAGATGGCAAGACTCAAATAAAAAGAGAAAGTAGATCTTAGACAGCTAGAAAGACACCTTACACCAAGCGTGGATAAACAGACACCCCCAAATTACTACTGTATATTTCTCAGCCCAGGGATGCATGCCCGGAGTAGGCTTTGTGTTTCAGCCACAGCGGAGTTAGTTTGTAAAAAACACACTCGGATAACTCTCTGCAACAAAATGCATTTTGGTCGTTCATCAACTGAGTAATGTGCTGACTAAACTGTCTATCTTTTTCCTCTCAAATAACTTAAAGCGCTGTGTGGATTTCCATAAGGAGGTGATTAGTCGGGGCAGCATCTCAGGTGGTTTCTTTCACTTGTGCTTTATGACAGGAAACAAGTCACGGGACAGATCGCCGCATCGACAGCTTGGCTTTTACAAAATGCAGACGCAACATTCCCGTAGAAATAAGTTACATTTTCAACTCTACATTTTCCCGAATGTAATGCTGTCGCTTACTTACAGAAACTCACCGCAATGAGTTACTGCCAGCACGGGTCAAAATATCTGTTTATGCAGCCAGTTTGCATAATCACAATGTAGAAATCTGCTGGGTGTCGTTTAATAACCAACCCCTCAAACCTCATCTCATTCAGACCACAAGCCACAGGCAGGCCTCAAATCACAATCTCTGTCCTCCAACCAAGTACATGTCAGTGAGAGTATATCAAAGATGACTGATGATTATTGATATGGTATTTCTAGAATAAGGCGGGTTGTATTCTACAATTCAACAACGTGTTAATCCATCTCACCTTACTTCAAATTGCCCTGGCTTGTGGCTCTCAGCCCTAAGGATTGGTTGCTACTGAAAACATCATCTAAGCACAAGATCTAACCTAATATTAGTTATTGTTTAAAGCGACCTCTACATCATTTATGAATGGACATCCACAGATGTTGTCCCCTTTGATCACGTTGTCTTAAGTGTTCAGCTGAAGCTCCTTTATACTGAATGTAGTTCAGTGACCCGGGAGCGTCCGCCAAGACGACGCCTTGTTGTTCCCAATGAATAAATAAATGTACAAATAAAAAACATTAATAAATAAATAGATAAATAAATTAAACGGATGAGGAGACATTTAGGCCAATGCATTCGGAGTCACATTTCTGCTGAGGGCACACTTTCACCCCAGCACCCCCATCCCTCCCTCCTTTCAGGGAAATGTCAATTAAAAGCAAAGCATCTGTCGAAAACCACCAAATCAGCAAGGTTGGTCTCATGGGGACACCGGGAAAGAATCTGCTCAGCCCTGAGTGCTTTACTGACCTCAACAAAATATATTCACATTGAAATATCTCAATAAAGACATCAGGGTTTAGAGATGAGAGAACTTAAACATCAGCATAAATATTGCTCTCATGGCCAAGACAATAAAATAAATCATTGAATATCTATTTAGAGATAAATATCACAATGCCTCGGCTCTGCCTATTCAACACAAGACACAGGGTCTCATCCGCTACAACTGCTCTGACCATGCGACCCAACCTGGAGTGAAGGGAGTGAAGTAAAAGTGTCTTTATACGCAGTCTAAATGGACATGTTGATGTGTAGATACTGGTATCTACATGTACATGTACATGTATATGTACTGCTCATGTAGCAAATCAAAAAAGGCCATCATGATACAATGAATAAAATAACCAAGCCGCTCAAGAGGTTTACTGTAAGGCTGTCTG